AGCTGTTGGCGGTCCTCCTCCTGAGAACCAGGCTGGAGCTGGAAATTACCATGTCCTCTCCTTCAGTAGGAGTCACTGCTCTGTCACTGAATGAGTTTGCAGAAACCTGAATGCGATGAAACCCCTGTTAGGAAAGCTGTAGATGTGCACTTTATTTTGGTGATGCAACTGGCTGCCTCTTTGTGTAAGTTCTGTCACAGTTACACGCCAAATTCTGTACACTACATGAGAGCAAAGAAGTATTTGTTGAGCCACGGTAGTAACAGTAAGAAAACAGAACTTTTTTTATTATTATTTTAATTTTTAATCTCTGATTTTTAAGGAAAAAAATCTGCTTCTATGCTGTGGCCAATTCACAGCAGGAGACACCTGGCTCGAGCAAGGTGCATAACAGGGGTCTGCTGAACAGCTACTGTTGTAATAGCTTTCTTCAGGTGGCAAAAGCAAGGGAATTTTAGCCACCAACCTGAAGAGGTTAGCGAAGGGTGAAATTGCTATTGAGGAAGCACCTCCTGGGACCATTGCATTGATTAACATCCCTGCTAGCCTTAGGCATCCCAATTTTATAGATCCACTGGAAATTTCTGACAGAAAGCTGTAGAACTATTAATGGCATCTCCTCTGTGCTCCTCCTGTGCGTGTCCCTGTGCCAGGAAGGGCTGCTGGGTTTCTCTGCAGCTGTGAGTGGATGCTGTGGGCTGGGGGCTGTGCTTAAACAGCAGATCCCAGGCATTGCTTCCTACCCCATGCATGTCTCTGGGCAGTGATACCTCTGCTGCCGGCACAAACGGGGAAGTAATGTGCTTCAGACAGTAGTGTTCTTCAGCCAAAAACAAGCTGGCAGTACTAGAAAACGGTTTGTCGTTCTCCTCCCACACTTTTCACATCTGGCACGCTTTTAGTTTGAGAGATTTGCACTGTTTAGGTGCCTGTGCCACAAGCACACTTTGTAGGAAAAAGTTGTCTGTGTGAAAGAACACAAAAGGACTGGATTATCCAGACGAGGTTTTCCAGCTGACCGACTAGCACATCGTGCCATGGCTTCTTGGCTGCTTGGAGAAAAAAAAATCTGGACTTTTATTTGATCAGAATAATTAAATAAAGCAATCTATATTTCGTGTTGTATTACAGTCTGTTCTCACAAAGCAGGCTGGCAGCTTTTCTCTAATCCACTTCCCAGCGCATGGGTCAGATCTCTACACCTGGTTTTCTAGAGGTCACTCACCTTAGCTCCCCTCTTGCCATTTCTCTGCAACAAGCATTATTCTGTGAAGCACAGTGGCTGCCATGCCTTCCAGAGAGTGATGCTGCTTTTCACATTTCCTCTCTTTAGGCGGGATTTAGCACATCACATCCGTGCCTGCTGCATGGCCGGGGCTCTGCCCCGCTGCACGCCCAGCTACGCGGCTCTAGCACGGGGCTGGCTGGAGGTAACAACCTGCACCAAGCTCCTCAGAGCTGCTGTTGTCGGAGGATGCTCACTGAGAAGGAAAGTCTGACTTTGCTGCTTGTGTGAGACAGAGGTGTTAAGCAGATGCTTTCTGTGAACGGCCTGCATTTCCTCCCTCAGGGGGAAGGATGCGCTGGGGCGTACAGTGGCACGGGACCTCCCTGCCCTGCGCCTGAGCTTGCCACAGGCTCCCTGCGTGACCTCGGGCACCCAGGGAGGGGAGGCTTCATTAATAACCTTTATAATAACCTTTGAGGCACTGGAATGAAAATGCTACAAGTAGAAGTGAAAAAAACAGTCTTTACCATGGAAATGAAAGTTTTCTGAGAAAAAAAAAAAAAGACGGTAACAGCTTCTGGGCTGAATAAATGCTACACAGCCAGTGGCTGATCTTCCCAATCCTTCCTCACCTGGGGTTATGCTGTACATTGGTCACAGCTGTGAGCAGCAGGAGAGCTGTGGGAAGAAATTGCTCCTGGGGAAAACGTGTTCTGCAGGGCGTGGGGGGATTTAGGAAGGTTACCAGGGTGCCTAACAGTGACTTCGCCTAGTGCTACACATGTGTAAACCTTTGTGAACACAGAACACACGCTAATTACTTAACTCATTTTTAACCTTCTGTGTTCATTAATAGCACTGAGCAAAATTTCCCTCCATGTTAGACTTTCAGAGAGTTTTTTGATCGTTTACCCAGAGACATGGGGAATTCCCCGCTGCCTCGAGCAGCGAGCTGCCGCCCCCGTGAGCATCTGCTGTTCCACTGTGGGTGGCTGCCGGGGCCCCAAAATGGGACCCTCTGTTCCCCGGCCCCACACACGGTGCCGAGTGCTTGCGGAGCCCTGTGGTGACCCTAGACCCCCGGATGGATGGGGTGGCACCTTCCAATTACAGCCAAGTAAATGCAACGCGCTGAATGATTTTTCAGAAGAAACACGTCTGCGATGTAAGGGAAGACACAGCCTCAGTGTTGGCCTTTTGCTGGGGTTTTCTGTAATCCTGGCGTTTATTACAAGAACGGAGATTTTGTTCTGCAGTCTTTGTACTCCCACTGAAAATAGGGAATTGTTGGAGGGAAGCAGGACGTTTTCCAGAGGTACACAGGAGAGCAAAGGAAAAAAGAAGGGCTGTGAGCAACAGAACTCGTCCAATGCAGCGTCCTATGGCTTTCTCTCTTGACTGATTTTTCTAACTGAAGAACATTAAGACTTCTGAAGTGTTACTTCAGCGTACGCCTACACAGGTTCCTCTGCTTTCCCTTTCAGTCCCCTCCTGAAGGTAATTCAGTGACACCTCGAAAGAGCTGACGTCTCACAGCAGGACTCAACACGTGTCTGAGGTGAACCTGTAGTGGTAGAGCCCACTTTCTTGTAACTCAAATGAAGTATTTTATGAAACTTAATTACTTAAGGATCTTAATTACTTTTGTAACCTCTCTCCTTCTGCCAGGTTTAACTCAAATAAGCTAACAAGTTAAAAAGTTACGGGGCCAAGGACCCACCCAGGGGAGGGAGGGGATGCCCACAGAGGCCAGGTGCTGGCCGTGCCTTCGCATTAAATCAGGCTGAAATGGAAACACTTGGGTTAGAGGTGCTGACAGAAGAGCAGAGAGGATGTACAGGATGTGAAAGCAATGGGCTATGCTCTAAGAGAACTTGAATGCACAGGGCAACTTAGTTCATTATCATCACTCCACACTAATGAGCATCCAGGAGCTGACTCCACATCAGTGCTGTACTGTGAGTTATCGGCCATTTGGTCATTGTTGCTCTTGGCTGGATATTGGCCGTTTCTGTGGCCTCCAAGGTCACCACTGGGCTCTACCACAAGTTCCTTCTCTGATGGCTGCCATCACGGGGGGTCCCTCATCCTGTTGAAAAGGAGGAGGCCCTGTCCGTTTACCTGCAGGCTGAGGAGTGCTCTCTGGTTCTGGTAAACTCCTTTATTTCTCAGCAATTTCTGTAAAGTCAGAGAATACCCCTTCTTCAATCCCTGCGTGTTCAGTGCTCTGATGGCTGCCAGGTGCCGCTCAGGGACTGCCCTGTGTGGCTGGGTGCCTCAGGTGTGCACCTCGGGAGCTGCCGAGGCCCCAGGGTGAGCAGCTGGGAGGGCTGCAGGCAGCTTGGTGCTGGATTTCTGGTGAGGCTGCACCTCCGGGGTGGAGGAGAGCCTGCTTGGAGCCTGGGTTCTTGGATGGAAGAGCCGAGGGGGTCTGGTTTGGGCTGGCCAGGTTTGGGTGTCTTGGGACTGATGTATAAACCTCTCCCACACCATCCGTAACCCACACCCTGGTACAGAGGGGCTGGGGCTCCCAGCAAGATCACAGCTGGAGCCCCCAGTGGGGAGGGGGCAGCTGAAATGCTGAGGTTTCCAGAGCAACCCTTTTGGCCAGGCTAAATGCTGGCCTCGCCTCCCCACCTGCAGCTCGGCTGGGTCAGGAGGAGCAGACCTTTCCCTTCCCATCCCGAGCAGTGCTTTGGTGTCACTGCTGCTGGGGCGTGGAGCAGCTTGCTCCATCTGCCCTGATACCAGATGCAGAAGGGCTGGGTTTCCAGGAGGATCACAGCTGAATCACCCAACAAAAACGGCTTGCAGCTCCTAGGCGATGTTGGTTTGCTGTTGCTTTCTCCTCCCCCTTTGCCATCTTCAGGCAGGAGCTGGCAATGGAGGCACAGAGAGGGGCTTGTAGGGAGGACAAGGGGCAGGCGATGAGGCTGAGCAGCCAGGCCACCTCACCCCGCTCCATGACAGCGAAACAAAGGCAAAAAAAAAACAAAACAAAAAAAAAACCTGCCACTCAGGCCTGGTCTCTTCTGGCGTTTCTTAGCCCCAGCGGCCTCCTGTTTGGGCAGCAAAGCCCAAAAAACCCCACAACCCTTTGCTGCACGACCTTGACACCCCCAAACCACAAAGCGCCGCAGGCATCTGAGCGCAGGAAGCGCAGGACCTGAAGGGGTGGGGGGTGCGAGCAGTGCCAGCCGCCCACAGCTTCCCCCAAGGGGCGCTGAGCTGCGAGGGCAGCACCTCAGGGCCCGGACCGCCAGCAGCGTGACAGCCCCGACCTGCAGGGCCTCCAGGCAAACCCTCGGCCCCGGGCTGGCACTGACCCTGCTGAAATGGGGCCGGGGCAGGGCTCCTGGCCACCAGCAGCCAGGGGCTGGAAGCAGGATGTGCTCCTTGTGGGCTCAGCGAGCTGGGACAGGAAGGCTTTACGTAGAACAGAGGTTTCTGGCCTCCACGGCTTGTAATGCCTCGCTCGGGCCCTGTGGCTGTTGACTCAGGAGGGAGGCACAAGGCCAGAACGAGCCGGGATGCTTTCACCACGCTGCTGGCAGCCTGGACATCTGCTCCGGCCAAACGTCTCCGCCATCTGCGCCCACGGATGCTCCCACTCGTGCTCACGTCAGGGAAACACCGAGCCCGACCCACAACCCCAGCGGTTTTCCACCCCGGTGCTGCCGTGTGCGAGCCCGGCCCTCCCAGCCGGCACCGGGCCTGAGCTAAAAGCCAGCTGGGGCTTCACTGCCACAAGAAAGGTCACCAAGAGACAGGCTTTATGCTAAACTTCTTTAACCATCGTCATTACAACCATGTAAAACACAGCATTGAATACTATGTACAGTCTGTTGGGATCGGAGTAAAAAGGAATGATTGACTTTTTTTTTCCCCCCCCAAAAAAAACTTCCTTACAAAAAAAAAGAAAAAAAAAAAGCACAGACATAAAAATAGTTTTTCAGTAATAATTATAATACATTAGGAGGAGTCGGGGAGGAGGAAGCGTTCGACGCTGTAAACAAGACTAGCAATCCAAATGGAAGCCGATGGTCAGGGGCTGGCAAAGTGCACGCAGGAGACTCCCCCCCCCCAGCCTCCAGCGCGGAGGCTGCCAGGGAAGGACGGCCCTGGCCCGGCCCTGGGTGCTGCTGCTCAAAGTGCTCGGTCAGGGGACAAAACGCAGCCCCCGGGTTTTTTGGTGGCAGCCATCCCGGGGCTAGCAGGGCAGGGAGCTGGGAGCCCTTTCCTGAGTTTGCCGGCAGCCCCACTGGCTTTGCTACGGGCTCGGGGCTGCTTTGGGAGTTGGGGCAGGGGCGAGGCGTTGGCACCGCTGCTGCTGAGCAGGCTGGGGAAGAGCTGCCTCAGGGCAAGTGAGCCAGGCTGAGTTGAGCAGGGGATGTTGTGGGGACGGCCGCTGCTTGCCCCCTACCCCAAAGGTCCCCGAACCCCGCTGGTGGCTGCCCCGTGGCTCAGGGATGGCTGGAGGACCCGCTGCGAGGCTCTGGCTACAGCCGGGGTGCTCGGAGGGCAGGGAAACCCCGGTGCTTGGTGGCTTGTGCAGCGCTACCGCGCAGTGCCAGCTCCCTAAAATCAACTTTTCAATGTGAATACTGCAAAAGGGCACAGACTGTGCACCAGGGCATGCACACCGCTGGGCGAGGGCTGTCAGAAATGAGGGGCTCAGGCCTTACCTGCACATAAGTCACCGCAGAGCGCTCTGAGGACAGAAAGTGGCCTGGGGCAGCCCTCAGCTGCTTCTCCTTGCTTCCCTTGCGGCTGCAGAGGCCAGCAGGGTATGGCTCCTAGCAAAAGGCAATGGGTTCCTGTCCTGAAATACTGCCCAGGTATTGTAACACAGAGTAGGCTTCACTGCGGCACAGTTACTGCAGAGCATGCTCTAGCTTAAAACCAGTTCAAGCACCTTTACCCTAAAAGCGACCCGTGGTGCCTCAAAGCCCAAGCACGGAGCATTCGCACAGCACTTCTCTTCAAAGCGCCTCCCGGACGTCCCCTGAAGAGCTTACCCCTCCCAGCACCCCTGTGAGGCAGCTCCAGGCTCATCTCGGCCCCCAGAGCGAGGGCAGGGGGCTTTGGAGACTCAGCCGGGGAGCAGCTGCTCCTACCTGCTGGCGCAAACACACACAAACTGATAACCGCCCTCAGAGGAATTCAGGGGGTGTTTTCTGCTGGGCTTCCAGGCAGGCTTTGGCTCAGGCTATGGTCTCGAAGCAGCCGAAAGGATGAAAACCAGGCTGCGAGGGCTGCTGAGACTTGGAGGGAGCTCGTGCCCGGGTTCGCAGGCCAGCGGTCCCAGCTGCTGCCCAGAAGGTGGCATCTGCAGGAGGCCTTCAGGAAAGCAGCAAAAAACACAGCACGTTCGGACTCGAGTTCACTGCCTGCTGCCTTCCTCCAGCCTCCTTCTTGCCTGGAGAGGTGAGGCAGCTGCCGAGGGCTGCAAACACGAGTTTGGCCCCGTTCCTTTGTAGGGTGAGCACCCACAGCCCCCTGGGCAGGGAAGAGCTGCTGGGGAAGAGGAGCTGGAGGCAAGGATCAGCTTGGATCCTGAGTGCTCACGGGGAAGGGGAGGAGATGGCCAGCCCACCAGGACTTCTCCCTGCATGAAGAGCAAGTGGGGACTCTGGAGCATCATCTCCCCCTCTCCGTGCCCATGTTTTCCTTCCTCAGGCAGCAGTTTCTGGCTAGCCTAAACCAGCAGGGCTGACCCGAGGTTTCTGGGCAACGTGCTCGCCCGTCCTAACTTCTACACCATTTCCACCCTGAAGCTTCACCCGCTCGGAGCAGCAGCAGGCTCCAGCTCGGGCACTGTGCCGAGCCACCAGCGCACAGCTCCAGCAGCTCACCAGGTTGAGCGGGGCAGCAGCAGCCCCTGCTCCCCTTCAGCTGGTTTCAGGCAGCGAGCCTGCTCGCCGTCCTGGACCCGCGAGGGAAAGGCCATGCAGGCCTGGCTCACCCCTCCCCGCTGGCCTTGCCCCCTCAAAAACTTCAACCAGAACGGCCCCACCTGGCACCCGCTGCCGGGGGCGCTGCTCGGAGCCCCCCAGGCCCAGGGGCTCACCTGCCCCGGCTGCCAACGCCTCCCCTCCAGGAGAACATCGGCGGGGGGAGGCGGACAGGGACCCTCGCCAGGAGTGGCGAGGGAATTGCATAGACGGCCGGAGGGCTGCTGCCTCCCGCGGGTCTGGAAAAAAGAACTGAAGGTCTATTGCTACAGGAATAGAAACGCCGTCGGCCAGACGGATGGGGCAGCTGGGAGGAAAGCCTCTCTTGCTGAGTATTTCGGACTCTGCTGCCTTGTGCCCACAGACCCACCGCTGGAGCTCAGGAGACAGGCAGAGAGCACCAAAGCACACGAGTTCACCTCCCTGCACATCCCGGGGCTCGGCAAGTTCCAACGAGCAACCCGAAATTAAAGCACTTCTGTCCATAGAGAAGAAACCACGGGTGCAAACCCAGACGGAGTTTGTTGGCGGCTCCTGGAGCTCCGGCTGCCCCGGGCTCTCGTACCGAAGCACGGCTCCACGGGCACTGCGGGACCGGTGCCGCTCCAGCCCCTCTCATCACCTCCCCACGTGCCCCACTAAAACGTCACCGATTTGGGCAGTTTTGCTGGGGGAGGAGAGGCTGAGCCGAAGCTGTTCTCGGAGAGGGATTTGGCAACCTGTGGGGATAATTTTGGTTTGGGGCTGAGGGGCGGCCGCGGCGCTTTCAGTGCATTGAATGGTTTTGGGGCGCCCTCCTGGGCAGCTGCTGCCCCCAGGACGGAGGCGGCAGGAGGCAGCAGGGAGGTGGCAGCCAGGGGCCGGCCGGCCTCGGGCAAGGGCATTGCCACCTGCTTTCTGTTCCACAAGTCTTGCTCCGTGGCGTGGGCCACGTGCAGGGGAGTGGTGGTTTTTACTACGGCGTAGGGGCTGTTCCCCTCGGCTCCCCGCTGGAAGGGGTGCCCCGGGGTCTCCGCCAAGAGGGGGGTGCTGCCGCCCGACTGCCTGTGCGGGGCTGGGCCCAGTCCTTCCGCTGCGCCCATGCCCTGCTGCAGGCTGGCGAGCTCGCCCGTGGAGGCAGACTTGGGTACCGGGCTCCTTGAGTCTATCTGGGTCAGCAGCGCCGCTCCGCACGGCTGCTCGGCCTCGGGGAAGTCCAGGTCCTGAGCCGGCGGAGGAGGAGGGAAGGCAGCCAGTGCCTCCTCTTCCTCCCCATGCGGGGAAGACGCCTGCTCTACCTCTGGCGGGCCATGCACAGCAGGATTCGGCCGCCTTGGTGAGCTGTCTGCGTTGGAAAGCTGCTCGGCTGCCAAAGCCTCCCCGGCTGGCACAGTCCCGGACGAGATGCTGGGGTCATGCAAGTCCACGGAGCCGTGCGGGGAGGGAGCAGGGCCGGGCGACTTGCACTGGGGCAGAGGCTGTGGGCCTCCGTGCCGTGCCGGTGAGGCAGCTCTGCTCCTGCGGCCGGCGGCAAGCAGCACCGGGCTCTCCTCGTGTTCCCCCCGAGGTCTCCGGGGGTTGTCGTGTGAGGCAGGCTCTCCGCTCACCGCAGCGGCCTCCTGGCTGGCAGGGAAAGCCGGAACCTCGCTTCTTGGTGGAGGAGGCTGCTGCTGCTGCACGTCCTCGGGAGCCTTCACCTCGCCGTAGCACCGGGGGGGATGTAAGTGTCTGGCGGCCGCTTCGGTGGCGTCGCTGCCCAGCTGGTCGGGAGTCCTGGCAGCCCCGGCGGTGCCGCTGGGTGTCCCTCCTGGAGGCCCACTGTGGGGTGGAGGCTGCGTGGCCTCCCTGTCCGGAGGCCGCTCGCCCAGCAGCCCGTTCTGGCCATTGGCCGCCGCGTTGGCCTTCACAGCCACCGGGTTGAGGGAGAGCTCCAGGCCCAGGGGTTTGCGTGGGAACTCCTCGGGCTTCGCTGCGTGGGAGGGAGGGGAGACAGGGAGAAGAATAAATGACATAAAAGAGGGATTAAAATAAAATAGAAGTTGGAATCAAATATGTATCTTAACATTAAATGAGAAATATTAAAAATAAAGCAATAAACAAAAATGGAAAAGCAATAAAAAGCAAAAAATAAAACAGTAAAAATGAAAAAAATAAGCATTAAATTAATAGAGAGCCCCCCAGCAGTGTCCTGCTCACTGACAGCAGCACCAGGAGGAGCACACGGGGGAGGACCAGGGCTAGGGAGAAGGCAGCGGCCGGGCTGAGCTGCCGGCCACCCCTCTCCTGGAGGGTCGCAGCCCCTGGAGGCTGTGGGGAGACGGCAGCAAGGGGGCGGGGGGCTGGGGGCTCTGCCCACCTGGCGGGGGGAGGTCAAACTTCATCTTGCGCAGCTCGCTCATCGACACCTGCAGCTGCTCGATGACAGCATCATCCTCGTACTGCAGCGACGCGGCGATTTTCTCCTGCAGAAACTCCCGCAGGTCTTCCAGCGTCATCTTCAGCAAGCGCTCTGCGGAAGGGCACAAACCCCAGCCGGGTGAGAGCAGTGGCGCACCCCGGGGCTCTGTTTTGGGAAGCAGAGCAAGCCGCTGTGCTCTGGTTTGCCTAGGTCAGAAGTGAAACCCGTCGAGCCAGGGGTTGTGCTGCCCTTCCTGTGCTGGGGTCTGAAGGTGCTGGCCCCTCTCCTGCTGCTGCTCGGGGCTGCGTGTGCTGCCCCTCTCCTCTCACCCACCTTCCTGGCGGTGAGAACAGCACAACGCAGGGGCTGGCAGGTGATGGGGGAGGCCAGGACACAAGTTTGGGGCCGTTTCTAGAAGTTCTCACCAATGCCTCTAGGAGGAGGAAAAGCTCCACAAGACAGACCCCGACCCAAACAGCTGCCTCCACCCATGCCTGCAGGCAGCGCTGCCGACCCGACCCACGCTGTCTTTGCAAACCAAGCCGATGCTTTCAGATTTCTTTCGGGGCAGTATGTTCCTAATTCAATGGAAGGAAGGGCAGGGTGGCTGTCTGCAGAAGCAGACTATCTGCAGTCTGCCTGTCTGTCTGCAGGCCCACGAGTCCCCAGTTCACAGTATCGGCACCTCTCTGTCCCAGTTTTAGGATCTCACCTCTCAGGGCTGCAAAGCAAGGCCTGGGGGTAGGTGGGAGCACTTTCTGACTTTCTAGAGACGCTGGTCAGCTCACCTCAAAGTCCAAAAGGTATCGACAGAAATGTCACTACCTTGACATTACGTATGAAAACCAGGTTTTGGTCGTTTTAGAAGTGTATCACCCTTCTTTTGACAACTCGATTCCACAACAAATAAGCAATAGCCAAGCTCAGCGTGCCTGCTTGCTTCCAAAAGTGATTTTGACAGTTGGACAGCAAGCTCAGGACCACGCGTTATAATCTGCTTTCTTTTGGGTGCTCCACACCCACGCAGACTGCTGACAAAACAAGTTCAGGGTGAGCCACCCCCCAGCAGCCCTCGCCTCGGTTTTGCTGCCAAAACTAAAGCTTTCTGAAGGCGGCGACTGCGCAGGAAGACACTCCAGCTGGAGACAAAAAAACTGCCTTTGGATGGCAGCACTGGCTTGGGCTAACCTGAGCTGAGCACCAAACCCTGTCCCCAGCCTGGTGGCTACGTGGCAGCTCATCCCCAAGGGGCTCGCCTCCTCCCCACCGTGCCAGGCACTTACTTTTGTGCAGCTTGAGAATGGTGTAGGCCATGGCCGTCAGCACCCGCTCTCCTTCCAGGATGTAGATATCCCAGAGCCGCAGGGTGAGGGTGAAGGGCGTCTGTTCCAAACACAAACAAACCCAGCCCGTTAGCACCAAGGCAGCAGCACTCGGCTACAGGACTGCAACGCTGAGCTTAGCGGCATGGCTACGTCCCCTCGCACCAAACATGCACCCCGGGGAGGCATCTGGAACTCGTCTATAATGCAAAAATGTATTTTATCATCTAGGGTTTTGGTTTAAAGTTAAACTTCCTGGCTTGTGATGGTTGGACTTAGTGACCTGGAAGGTCTCTTCTAACCTTGGTGATTCCGTGATTTTAAGAAACTCGGGTGGCTGCATTTTGTACAGCTTTCAGCGACAAGAAAGGCAGCGCACATCCATGCCTGAGCTCAATCCCAGGAGGAAGAGACTGCCCTCTGTTTTACGGGAGACAGGGAAGCAGAAAATTGAGACTGTGGATGCACAGATACACTAAATATTGGCCAGCCTCCACCTCATGCTCACGTGTGCCAGCATAAGGCTGCCCCTAAAAATAAGGCAGTCTTGTCTTGGGCTTGCCAAATTAGCCTCAGACAAATCAGGGTAATTTTCTCATGCTTTCCTATGTCTCCAGTGCACAGCCTGCTCATTTGTGTGCAACTGCTGCAGTGCAATTTGTTCGGGTTTGTGCCTCGAGCTCTTCTTCTCCATACACATGTCCAGAGCCAAAGTGAGGTTAATTGCCTCTGCACGGCCGCAGCAGCACCAGCGGGCAGGAGAAGCAGCTCCCAGCGGGCAGGAGAAGCAGCTCTCCTGAGCCGGGAGGCTCCCAGCACTGCTGCAGGCCCAGCTCCCAGCTGCTATTTGCAGTGGGGCTGTCGGAATTTGCTTGTCATCCACCACGAATGACAGGTGGTTATTCTTAGCTTCTCCCTTGCTGAATTTCCTGCCTTATGGGAGCGTGCATAACATCCCACCTTATTTATTATTAAAACCATCTTAGAATTATGATACTTCCTCCCCATTCACTAGTAGAAAAACCAAGCGGGTTCAGCGTGTGAGCAGGTGGCAGAGAAGGACACAGCCCGCGGGGTCCTCACCCGGTCGATGAAACACTGCAGGAACCACTTGGTCGTGTAAATCCCCGTTGTCATCTGCTCCTTGTCCTAGGACGAGACAGCAAACAGAGACCCGTGTTTCAGCAGGCAGGCTGCGGGCAGCTCAAGCGGTTCGTGGGGCTTGCTGGGGGTGGGCTGGGTGATTTATTGATGCTGGGGTCTGGCTGCAGGTTCTGGCTGTGGCTTGTCAGGCTTCTTGCCTCCCAGACAAAGGCCCCTGCTTTAAATGGCAGCATTGAAGCCCCGCTCTGGTTCTTTATTCACTGAGTAAAGTCTGCAGCCAGGCTTCAGCCATGCCACAGCCGTGGGGAGGGATGTCTAAGAGAAGCTTTTCTGGCCTAATCCCCACCCCAGGGATTTACAAAAACCTCGCAGGAACCAAGCCCATGAGATTACCAGTTGTGTTTCCATAGCAATTCCCAGCCCAGCCTCTCAGAGCACCACAGAAACGAGGACCCCCAGGCATCCCACCCACAAATCCACACCTGCACGGCCAAGCCATTGCTCACTCCCCGCTGTCCCCACATAGTAACTCCACTTCCCCGGCAGCTACACCTTCTGCCAGGGCAGAGGCACTGGAGAGGGAGCTGTGCCTCTTGCCAAGTGCTAAAAAAAAACCAAAATCAGCTGTAGACAGCTGTTTGTTAGGGGGAAATGCTTTCTAGGACTGCTACAGAGCACACAGGCAAATCACCAGCATGGACACCCCCGGCAAGAAAATAGCTGTCCCACCTTAGAGGGAGCACACTGCGCCAGGAAACCACCACTACTGGCACCGACTGACTACCGGAGTCCCTTAATGAAGGCATTTTTGTGCTTGCTGGCTAGGGTTTGAGTTACTCCCATCCTCCCCCCCCTACCCCCAGTGGCTATAATGAAGTGAAAACCTGTCCTGGCTCCGTGTCCCTGACATGGCCAGGGCTGGCTCGCTCGCAGCACTAAGCAGGAGCTGTTTCAGACGATGGCAATATAAACGGCTTTTCCTGGAGCCCTGCCACCGAGCCCCCTGGGAGCATAAGAAACCTTCAGCAGTCTGGCCACTGAATACCGAATGTCTAAAGCAAACGCAAAGGGGGAGGAGAGGGGGGAAAAAAGGGAGCAGGTGTTGCCAAGCAGTCACCCAGCCGTTGGACTGCAGTTCGGCGCGTCCTGCAGACACCCCTCCAGCCACCAGATGGGCTCGTGCCAGCTGCTGGAGAAACAGCTGGACACGGCGAGCCACGGAAACACGCAGCACATCTCACGCTGCTCCAGAATCGGGAGGGATTCTCCTGCCTTTCAAGCAGTAAAGCAGGGCAGGGAAGCGTTAAATGAAAGCACTCGGGGCCAATAACTGTTCAAGTAAAACTCCAGACATTCCAGCATTGCACTTTGGGCTTCGCAGCCGATCTAGTAAGGCGGTGTTGGCCTCACTGCTGAGCCACGGCTCCTCCTGCTGCAGTCTCTAAGCCCTCCTGCCTGGCTCTGCTCAGGAAGCCTTCCAATTTTAGCAGTCCCTGCGCTAATGATAAACAGCAAGCAAACGACAGCCACTCCCCTGAGCAAGATTCCTGGGAAAAACAACTTAATAAACACTTGCCTCTGTGTGGCTGAAGCAGCCCTATAGTTAGAAATATGCTTAGTTGTGCGTGTATTTGGCAAAACATTACACTAATTGCTTTGGCATTAAAATGCAGCATTAGTATGGGAAGACTGATAACAAAGAGCTACCATGTGCTTCTTCAGTTTCGGGAACAGTTTGCTTAAAATCTGCTCGTGATGAGCTTGAAATCTCTGCAGCTTCGGGAACCCGGGAATGAAAAAACCTACAGGAGAAAAGACAAGAGAGGAAAAGATCAGAAGAGCTCTGGGAGCGAGCGGTCACAGGGGCAGCCTGGTTTTGCAGACATGCATTCCCTGCGTGTTCGTGCCAGTGTGGGTACAACACCAGCTTGCAATCTGGAAGGAGACGCACTTGACAAGCCCCCAGTGCATGTGTTATCAAACCTCCAGCAGGCTATCCAGCCCTGAAATCCCAGGATCACAGATAAAGCAGTGCTTTAGTAAAGAGCATAAAAGCAAGGCCAGACCCAGAGCAGGCTCTGTCAGGGCTCCTTCACAGAAGCCATCCAGAGTTATCAAACTGTAAGGGCTAGCCCTCCACTTCTAAAATAATCCTCTGCACAGATGACTTCTAACCACAAGTAAGATCAAAGGAACTTTCATGTGGTTGAAGAAAAATAATACAGCCCATTTGGTGGAATTGCATCTTCATAAAAACATAAAGGCATGTAGCTCATGGCGTACAAAAACCAGCATTATGTGGTGCTCTTGGATGTGCTTCTATTAGGCTTTTTAAAAACTTGTAAGCTTAAGTTAATGGATTGCCAAGGGCAAGGCACTTTGGAGGGAAGATATCGCCTCTGCAACAGCGTTAATTACTGAGTATTAGAGGCTGGTGCTGATAAACCACGTTCTTTGATGAACCTGTCTGCCTGGAGTGGAGTTCAGCTCTGTACTCTGTTCACGACGGCACGTAATTAAGCTTTACCTGCTTTAAAACGAGTACCTAAGGAGAAGCAAGGCTCTCCTGACCAAATTAAACAGCGGCCTCCAGCCTCCTCTCAGCAAGCCTCCAAAGGGAGAGTTGCTGCCTGCATCCCTCTCATCCTTACCATGCATTGCGTGCTTCTGGTTGGTCAGCAGCTGTGCCAGCGCCCAAAATGCGTCCTCTTCATTCAAGTACATCAGCAGGATGGCTGCGATCTGACTCATCCCTTGGCAGTAGCTCACCTCCTGCAAGAGCCAAGGGGGCATACATGCTTGCACGCCACTTGCGGTTCTCTGCGCAACCCCGTCAGACCCCAGTGATTCTGTTGCTGGCAAAAAGGTGCACACGAGGACCCAGGGGATGGGGCAGCACAGATCCTGGTCCCCTCTGGACCTGTGCTGCTGATGCTGCTATGCCAGGACGGCTGGGAGCAGCTCAGGTTGCCTGTGCCTCCCAGTCCTATTTCAAGGTCTGTCCCGTTTCCAGGTCTTTACTGTTTATTCTCAAGTTTACAGTTCCCATATGTCTGCAGAGTCTGCCATATGGTCTACAGCGTCCCACCTGCAAGGCTTTAAAATCTCCAGGCGCCTCCACACGATGGTTAAAACCAGCACGCAAAGCACTTCTCCCTCTTTCTCCCAGTCTAAGTCAAGAGCCAAGCTCTGACCCGGGCCTTTGAAAAGCCTTTTGGGTTTGCGTCATCTGCTGAACAGCACCTTCCAAATGTTTATGCAAGATTTTAACGATGCCAAAGAGCCAAAGCTGGGGGGTAGGTTAGCAGGCGACTGCTTCTGCAGTGGACTGGACCCAGCTCACCCCACTGCCACCAGCCTCACCGGAGCCTAGTGGTGATGAAAAGAAATGGGCTTGAGCAGCCACAAGCCAACCCCTTAGTGGTGCCCACAGCTATTTCTGGGAATATGGGAGGGGATGCCCAACAGCACGTGGCTCCAATGCTACCTGGGACTCCTTCAGCCATGGAAGTACTGAAGTAGTTAAAAATTAAATCAATCCGGTAAGCTTTTATCCAGTCATCAGCACAAGGGAAGGCAGGGGCTTTGTTCCTTTGACTGCCACCCTGAGTCACCTGTGCCTCCTGGGGTAGCTGTGACCCCCTGTGGATGGAGGCAGTGCAATCAGCAGCTAATTTAGGGCTGTTCTGCCTATTGCTAAAAGTGGCTTGTTTGCTGTAACAAACCAGCATTTTCAACAAGGATGCTACTCAGCACATGACAAGTCAGGAACATGATGGGCAGACGAGCCCTCTGCCAGGAGGACAGTTTGTGAAAAGCCAAAGAGCAATTCCTTGTTTTGTGCTGGCACTTGCTCAAACCAAATCTGTGAGGCATCGCTTTACCGGGTGAAAAAACAAACAAGGGAATGAAACAGCTGGGTGAAGAAACCTGGGCTCATTCTGCCTGTGAGCCTTGCAGCAGTCTGTACAAACCAGCAGTAGGACTCCAGCTGGGCTTGCCACTGCCTGACATATACACACCTGCCAGATATGTACATATACACGGATCAGGACAGTGCTTTGCACTTTAACTGGACTAACTTACTACTTACGGTGTTATAAACAGAGTACGCCGACAAGACGTGGAACAGAGCCTGTTGCCTGGGGAGAAAGAAGAAGGACACTAAAATGAACTGCCCACACAAACAGTGCTCAACACACCCGTTCATCGGGTTTGGAGCATCAGTGGTGGCTTTTTAGTCATCTGGAAGCCACTGAGGCAGCAAGTGTTTTACAGGCTGAACTCAATGCCTGCAGCCCAAGCCTCACCTCGTGCCCATGGTTTTTGGGCAGAAGTGGTTCTGCTCTCCTGTGAGCTGCTCCCAGCCCCAGGGCTGGAGGCCATCCCGGCCAGATCTCAACCCAGCCCCACTGCAGCCAACTTACCAATCCCCATAGAGGTGTCTGAAGCCTCAAAAGCGGTACTCACTTCACTCCGTAGCGGTCCCGAAACATGATGTGGTTTCGGAAGGTGCGGTTAACGTCCAGGTCTATCTGCTTGATTTCCGAGGACAAGCTCTTCGCTTGTTCTTTCATTTGCTGGAAGGGAGAGGGGCAGAGGAGAAGAAGGAGTCATACCTCGTGTAAGCTCACCACCTCCCGCTGGGCAGGAGGAGAAACAGCTCCCCACAGCAGAAGCGGCAGCCCGTGAGGTGCAGGGGGGCCGCAGCGCGGTCTGGACAGCGAGCGGTGATCTGCAGGCTGGGGGTGAAGGGATGGGGAGCAGCAACCACAACAGGCCGCAAGCCCGCCTCCTTACTGAGGCAGAGCAGAGGCAGCTGAGCACGACGTGTGTCTGCACAACGGGACGAGGGCCAGCACATCTCACCCATCCCAAGGGACCCCTGAGGCACTGGGGCTGGCACACCCAGCCCGCCCACCGCCGCGGCCTGTGGTGATCGCACCGCAGTCACCACCCCGCTGCCACAGCAGCTGGGCCTACACCAGCCCTCGCTCGTCTTCAGACACACACGAGGAGTTTTCAGAGCTGAAAACCCTTACAATTAAATTTCACTGGGAAATTAGATTTACTGGGATTACTGGCGCCCAGCCTCGCACTCTCTCTCGGGGCTATAGCTGAAGCACCAAGAGCTGTCGATGCTGAAGGACGGGTGCACACCTGTAGCCAGCACATGGACACACGCGTGCCCACAGCACCGAGTCCCTGAGCTCTTCAGGGGCTTGGTCACAATAAAGTCCAAAGTGTTAAGGCTTTGGTTTGTCTGGGAAGTGATCCCTACTTCCCCTGCAGAAGAGAATCCCGTTGGGTTTAAGGAGTTTGTCCTGAATCCCAGAAAGGCAGTTCTGGGGTACTGCCTTGCGCTGGAGCAATTGCAAGGCACTGGCAGAGTGCAGAAGAGGAGCTGAACTCAAAACTGAGGATCCCCACATTCCCCCCATGCCAGCTTATCATTTAAAGCAGTGCCACCTGGAGAAAGGACTGAAGCCCAATTAAAAAAAATAAAATAAAGAAATTTGTACCAAAGCTAGGCCCACCCGAACCATCCGTACACTCAGGAGTCCCAAAATTGGACAGATGGAACTTAAGGAAAAACTTCTTTGGCGTGAGGGAGGTCAAAACACTGCAACAGGCTTCCTGGCAAGGCAGTTGATGCCCCGTGCCTGTCAGTGTCAAAGAAGCATTTGGATAACAGCCTCATCGTTACGCTTTAACTTTTGGCTAGCCCTGATGTGGTCAGGCTTTATGATCTCTGAAGGTCCCTTCCAGCTGAGCTACTCTGCTCTGCAGTGCTCCACGGGTAAAGCCACCACAGGGTCCCCTCACAGCCTGCGTTTTGCCCCAAGCAGGCAGGCAAGGACCATTTTGGTACTGCTAAGCAAGCCTTTAGGTACTGCTTGCGATCACACCCTCCTTCTTCAACATCCCCAGGGTTAGCTGCATGAAAACATTACATTTTGTGACTGCTTTCAGGCAGCCTGAGATCCCCCAGTACGGTAGGGGCAGCAGAGGTGAGCAGCAAGCCCAGGGTCAGATCCCCTCCTCACTGGGGACTGAAGGTAACAGAGCTGCAGGGACGCTTCATCACCTGCTCAGAAGCTCCTTTGGATGCATCCCAGCCTGCCACAAGGGGCCTGCAGGTTGCTGCTCACCTCCTGGGGTGGCCACACCAGCGCTGGGGGCACCACAGCTCGTTAGCAGCTGGAGGCTGGGCAAAGGAAATATAAGTCCGACCTTGAAAGCAACTGTGTATAGGAGGGATTCTTTTGAATTACTGCCTGAACAAGACAAGGCAGGGTAAGAAACACTGACAAGAGAATGACGATCTGATAAATGCTATCATTTCCCTGCTTTAAATCCTGGGCTCTCTGCATCCCCCCTTGGCAGGGTGCGCACCCTGCGCCACCTGAGTTCAGAGTTCCCTGCTGAAGACCCTCAGTTTTCCCCACTAAAAGAGCACAGAAATCTCTCAAAGCCTGAAAAGAAAAATAGAAAAAGAAAACACACCACCTGTATTTTGACATTCTCTTCTTTGAGCCTCCCCAGACTTGGCTTGAAAAAGCAGCCACACCTGCCTGGCAAAGCAAGCGTGTGCCGAGCCGCATGTGCATGTGAGCAGAGCTTCTTGGGCACGGCTGCCAAACGCAAAACCCAGCTACACTGAGAGGACCCCGATGAAGAGACTGAGAGCAAGGCACCCACAGCTCTGAGGGCAGCTCCTGGGCCAGCTGCTTCCTAAAACATTGCACTGAGGGGATCCTTCCCAGAGCCACCTGCAGCCAGCAGGACCCTGTTCTCCCCCAGCAATGGGTCTGCCCCAAGGGGCAGCAGTTACTTCGAGGCCATTGGGATTTTTTTGTGCCCCAGCTTATCCCCAGGGAGATATGGCAGCCTTGGGGCCAGCCCATACAGGACAAGGGGCTGAGACTGACTCTTGGTTCCTTCTGAAAGCAAAATCTCTCTTCCAGGAGGTGCCCCTGACCCTCTTCTGGAGTAAATTAATGGAGAGCTAATTGCTGGCGGCAGGTGGCACCAAAGAGGAGGAGGATTAAGAAGAGCTTTTGGGGGGCTGAGTCTAGCAAAGTCTATTAACCCTGAAGCTCCTGCTTATGGCAGACCCCCCTCTGGAGCACAGATAAACACTCCTCATGACTTTCATTTGTTTGCTTTGCTTCCCTGCCTGCACGGCACAGCTTCCCGGGAGGGAACGTGACAAGAACCTGCACGCTGGGAGAGCTTCATTATCCCTGCTTGGTGCAGCGATCCCAGCCCCTGCTCCCAGAGCCCCCTCACGTGGCTCCATCCCAGCAGCACATGGCTATGAACATCCCCGCTTGACTAGCTACGCCAAATTAGCATCGCCCTGCTTATTAAGGAGCCGTTTCAGAAATGCCCACAACCTGCTAGACGCAGCACATAACCTCCCACCTCCAAAAAGCAGGACAGCCTGCTCCTCGCCCCGCACGCGGCTCTGTCACACTCGGGTCTCTGTCACAAGAAACTCTGCAGCTCGGCTGCCCGGCTGGTGGTGCTGGAGGTGGTGCAGATGCGAGCAGCCAGCCAGCAGGGTGCTGCGCGGGCTGGTAGGGGTGTGTGGAGCTGTGCTCGGGGTGTGCACGGCCCCCCAGGGAGCCTGCTTGGCCTCTGAGCTATGCTCACGCAAGCTACGTCGTGAAACAGGCGAGGAAAAGAAGCTAGGCAGCGTAAAGCAGCCTAGACATCTGGAGTGAAAAATAATAAAAAAAAAAAATACAGCAAGCCCCATTACTTGAATTGCTGTTCAACACACGCCACAGAAATCGTTTGATACCAAGAAATCCATAGAAAAGTCTGCAGCATGAAGAGCTCTGGGAGGAAGCAGTGCAAGTAGGACTTTGCTCCTATCTGCAGAGGAAACAATGGAAATTGATTTTTAATAGAAACTTTCCAGATAGCACTCCTGTGATGACGTCTGAAGATAAAAGGCGACACACACCAGCTGCTTCAACCCAGGCTGTTTCAGTTCTTCCTATGCACTTCCAGCTGCACAGCTAAGTCATAAACTGTTCAAAAATCCCCCACGGGCTTTAAGATCTGCTCTCGCTCCGCTGTAATTGGCTTTCTCGACTACTGCCCCTTCGCAGGCTGGTTCAAGGCTTCTGACCTTGCTGAAAGCTTCACAACGCCCCAAGCGAAGTTTTAAAGCGCACCGAGGGGTCCAGGGCACCCACATCTGGCACCCACCTGCTTCAAGGTGCTCGTGGCCACTCCACGTCCCTCCTTTTAGCTCGGGGAGCCACCACGAGCAGCACCTTCGCTTTCTGTCCCCTCTCATTCCCTGAAGATGCAGTAACATCTCCAGCAGCTTCACCAGCCACTTCCAGCAGAAGAGGTGGAAGCAGCACGCTGAGGAAAGCAGCTGGCCAACAGACCCCTGCCTGACGTACGCGAGGATAAAGAGCTTATCCCCCTTTTGTTCTCAGCCCTCACTGATTTGAAGCCTTTCCTTTCCAGAGGTCTCAGCGGTCGCTGCAGGGACTCAGCCCCGCCACCACCGCACACCACCTCGCTGCCTGCGAGTGAGGACGTGGGGGCTGGGTTCCCCCACCCCAAAAAGCGTCCCATTGGGAATCCTCGCAGTCCCTCCCACCCATCACAGATGGAGACGGAGATACCCACTGTCCACCCTGAATCCCAACCTGCTCCCGTTGCCCGTGCTGGAGCCGTACCTCGTATTTTCCTTCGTTCTCCTTCTTCATCTTCTCGACATCCAGCAGGAGTGACCAGACCTGGCCTCGCACCTGGAGCGGGATGCCCTTGTACACTCGCCGACACATCTGCCAGGAGGAAAACACGTAGTGTGAGCGTGCTGCAGCCTCCTGGCACGGCCAGGCTGAGCAGCTTGGCTCTGCAAGCCTTCGGTCTGAGCTGGCACGGCTCTCACCCTGAGTGAGGTAACGTGTGTGCTATCTCTGGAGCAAGCATGGGGATCAGGGATGAGCATCTGAGTGTCCCCCTCCTGCCTCCGTGTGTGCCTTTCATGCATTTCACAGATGCCTCTTCCCTTTTTCTTCTCGGGAAGGCCCCCTCTCTCTCTGAATAGACCATTAAATTTCAATGGGAAACAGAAAAAAAGAGCTTTTGTTCCATCCCTGACTTCTCCCATTAAAAGAACACTTTAAAAACAAAAAGCGCCTTACATCTGAACATTTTCCACGCTTTCATTCATCCCACCCTCAAAATGCCCTGCAGCTGCACTGCAAAGCCAACTGCAGCATCCCTCCCGGCTCCTGGGGCCGTGGGGGTGCTGCAGGATGCGCTGCGTGTGCCCAGGCTCCAGCCACAGGGGCTCACGTTAGGATAGGATCATTTCCCTGGGGCTGGGGGACCCCATAGGACCAGGCGTGCTCACGCAGGCAGGGCACAACAGGTCCACATCCCACCAAGTGATCAGTTTGTGCCGCCTGGTGTAAACCTATCCAACCTCCTCCAAAATCCCTCTGCTTTTTCCAGGAGGCTGGTGCAAGAGAAGGGCTGGGACTCGAGGGAAAGCATGGAGGCGGGCAACGTCCGCAGCAGGTTTTCTGGTCGTGGTCCTGCAGCTCTGCCTTCCCCTCCATCTGCTGCTGCCACCTTTCCTTCCTGGTGCATCTCGCACAACCAGCTGCTTCTCTTCTCACCTGAATTTTTAGCACAGGCCTGGGCACAAGGTTAAAGACTCGCAGCTCTGCTCTGTCACTGCCTGCACTGTGGCATGATGCTCACTGAGTTAGGGGCTGGGCAAAGCTCTTGGCCCAAAGAGCTAGTGTGGGATGAGGCAGGAGGCCTCATTTATTTTATTTATTCATATTTATTTCCGAAGCGTTAGGAGAGATCAGCTGACAGTTGCCAAGGTAGAGCGAGATGCTCAGCTCGTGGGAAGAAAATTACTTTGTTTTGCATTCTCCGAAGTGGTATTGTTGTACTGTAATGAGCACAGCCCGCGCTGGCGTGTAGCAAATGTCTCTAATGATTTTCTCTGCATGAGGGTGCAGCAGGAACAAGGGAGTTACCAAACATGCTGCCATCGAACCAAGCCGAAATGCCTCTCTGTCATTTATCCGAGGGCTTGCCTCCTCCCTCAGCCTCCAAAAGTGCAAGTGATAAAACCTCAGTGCCGTGAGTCACGCTGAGCAAAAATGAGCAATTTTCCTCCTTCGGGAGACTGGAAGGAAAACAGGGAAGTTCTCAGTAAAAGAGGCAACGGTGCGGGGAAGGAAGCGCAGGTGATGGGAACCCCACTCCATGGGAAAAATGAAGAACCCTCAAGGTCACCACCTCTTGGCTCTAATAAGCTGCTCAGTGCTTGCAGCTGGGGAAGGAGGGCCAGGACCGTGACCCATGCAGACAAACCCCAGCTCAGGAGGAGGAGCAAACACCTTGGTGCTTTCCAGCTGGAGATGCTGGTGGCTGAAGCGATGGCTCAAGGTGTGCACGTACATTTACCACAACAGCCGCCTCTGGGAAAGAGGAAAGTGCTGCTGCCTTCGCTTACGTCAGCATAACGAGGGAGGAAGCCAGGAGTCCTTGTGAGGAAACCCGACAGAGAAGTCCTCCCTTAGGAAGTGCCTGGGCTTCCCCTTGCTGCCAGGGCAGATGGAGCTGCTGGGGAAAGGAAGGTGAGAGCCTGAACCCCCCAAACAGCTCAAAATACATAATGCAGCAGGGCAATATTCTTTTTTTTTTTTTAGCAAGTCCTCTGGTGAACCCCAGAGGTGGAGCCTTCCATCACCCCGCTGGACACGCAGCAAGGACGATGCAGCTGTGATGGCCACAGCACAGAGGCTTGCTCACTAGCACAAGCCCTTTCCTTCCCTGGGCTATTCTTGCTGGCAGCACTGCAGCGGGGACAAAACCTGACTGGGACAGCCCCTGCCGTGCCAAACGTCACCAGGCTGTCCCCAGCAGGAGCAGACCGCTCCCTTCTGGGGGTCTGTGCCCGTCCCTACAGAGCCCCGATTCATCCCAAGCAGCCCAGTGACCTTTAGTAGAGATGAGGCCACGCCTGCGTGCAGAGGGAGGCTTTGTCTAAAAACCTGACATCTTTGGCCAAAGCCATCCCTCTCCCAAGGTCCTGCTCCCCACAGCCTGCGCACGGTGCAGACAGAGGTCACGGCCTCCCCTCAGCTCTCAGTCCTGCGGGACCGATGCTTCTGGCTGAAATCCCATTACTCCAGAGCTACAAGGAGCGAGTTATCCTGCTGTCGGAGCACACTCAGCACGGCATCTTTTCCCCTAAACTGTGCTGCCTTAACTGTGCATGCTTATGTAGCACTATCAGGGCAGTTTCCTAGCATCCTAAACCCAGTCATATGGGTTAAAAGAGCAGGGGAGGGGACACATCACCTGGTGCTGCGCCCTGAGTTTCAGCTCTGCAGGGCCACGTGCTTTTTGCATGCACTTGGGCATTTTCTCATCCTTTCCCTTGTGGCAGCCAGGAGACAGCACGTAGAGCCAGGGAAAGGCAGCGTGACATCAGCCCGACATCCGTGCTAGGAACAGCCCCGGTGTCACTGTTTGTGCTGACACTGAATCCCACTGCTATACAGCGTGGCTGGAACAGCTCCGCAGACAGCTCTGACAGGGTGAGAAGCACCAGGAGCCCCAGGGCATCGCTTTAATTACAGCAATCCGAGTTGTTGCTCCAAACAGGTTATACCAGGAGTGATGTTAGCTGTAGCCGTGCCAGGCTGGGCCAGGCCATACAGCAGGGCTTCTCCTGCCTCGTTCCCTAGCATCTGCAGCAGCCACGGCAGGCAGCCAGTGGCCAGCAGCACACGGGGCCATGCTGACATGCTGCTCAGGGAGCAAAACCCAGGCGTGCAGCCTTCCCCAGCCTGCAGCCACTGCTGAACCAATGCCCCCAGGCTGGGGGACGCGGGACATGCCTGGGGAGGGCACTGCCTTCATGGTAGGGTGTCAGAGATGGGGGGAGGACAGGTCCACCACGGCCCTTCTCTCCTGGAGAAAGCCTGCAGGTCCTCTTGGGGCAGCTTTTGGTCCACCCAAGAGCAGTTCAGCAGCTCACACCCCTCCCAGCTGCGCAGCACATGTTTCACAACAGGCAAGCCGAGGCAAGGACCTGAGCCCCACGCCAAGTGCTGAGAGATGCTGCAGAACACACCCGTCTGCACGAGGAGCCCAGAGCCCCTCTGCACAGGCTCTATCAAAAGGAAGATCAAATATAAGGCTCCTGGCGTCAGCAAGAGGTTTTTTCCCTAAGACAACATCCGAGCCTTTATTAAAATAGCAGGCAGACGGCGTCTTGTGACACTTGGGCTTCTGTCACAGCAGTGAAGTGCTGAAAACAAACGTGAAGACGAACAGCCACGCAGCTGACAGGCTGACTGCTCAGGGAAGGAACAAGCCCAACCTGCTGCTCACTGCAAAAAGCAGATGAAGAGCTCATCGTGCCTCCTTAGCTAGGAAAAAATGCAAAGTGTTTGACGGGCATCGCTGTGCTCCCAGCAGCAGGTTCCCCTTTCTCTGCTGTCCTTCCCAGTCCATTTATGAGCTGCAGGCAGCCGTCAGCTCGTGGCAACACGCATCTCCAAGCGGCCTCTCTGCTCCCACAGTGCTGTAGCACCTCTCCTTCAAAAATAAGGATGCAAACAGCGTAGCGGTCCATACAAAGGACAGACAGGGATGGAAAAGCATCCAGGTGAAGGATGCAACCTGATTTGTTTTTTGAAAGCACTTCTTGTTGTGCTTCCTAGGGTCTTGCTCCCTGCCACCTGGCACTGAGCACGGGGCTGTGCAGCAGCTTGAGGACACTTGCTGGTTGCTACCAGCAGCAGCACAGGGTGGCCTGCGAGCAGTGCCACCGGGCTGCCAGGACCATCAGCACCGAGTCAAAGCTCCTTTATGCTCCCTCCATCCGCTGAGGGGGCTGACGCTGACTGCCAGGGCAGCCAGGCTCGAGTCCTCCAGGGGACAATGCCTCTTCTGTGTCCAGGAGTCATGAACCATTTAGAGGCTGGTATTAATAATAACGTCATTTATTCCATGACAAGAGCTCTGCGGTTTTCTGACACAAAGACCCACAAGAGGCCTGCTGGTAGATGGCTGTCAGGCACCTCGCGAGCTGAACACCAAAAGCCAAGAAGCAGCTGGGTGGTGAAAATCCTGCTCGGCTTCCTGGGGCCTCACGGGGGACCCCCATCCCTTGGGACACCCCAAAGGGTGCCATGCAGGCAGCATTTAGGAAACCATTTTTAATAACACTCATCTGAACAAGACCTCCCCTCTACTGGTAAACCAGCCAGCTCAAGGAAAGACTGGAAATTTTCAAGACTAATGGGTAGAACTAGGCAATATTTTCCAGTGATCTCTGGTTCCTCTCTCAACGTTTTGAGAGCCTGTTTCAAGGGCTGCACCATCACATCCCGCCTCGCACACGCTCTTCTTTTCCACCTCACCTTGTCACTGTTTCTGTATTTGCCCCATTTCTTCAGCATCTTCAGCCACTTGTCCACGCGTTCGATTTCCTGCTGTTTTTGCTGGTGTGAGGAGGAAGAAGACAAGACAAATGTAAGAAAAAAGTCCCAGAACATGCTTCCCGAAAGAATAAAACTTCATTCTCTTTAGTTTGAAATTTCTCACAGCTGAACTTTACATTCAGCTACACGTAAACACCTTTTGCTGGGGCCAGGAATAATCCAGAGGTATTTGCAGGAGCTGGCAATTTCAACCCACGGTCATTAAAAATGCAGTGTGTAAACAAGGAGAGGCACAGGCTTGGCAGACAGAAAGCATTTCCAAGAGGAGCAGCCCTCGACAACAAAATCCTTCTGGGTTCAGCAAGCCTTGGACCATTCTGCATCACCTCTGCCAGAAGGCAGGTGGACATGACATGCTTTAGTCTCAGGTAGCAGAATCCCAACAGAGAAGCCAAACATCCATAAACCAGACCGAAACCGGTCCCTCGGAGGCAAGGTATTTTATTAGATGAACCGAAGCAAAGAGCTGTTACTGGCCACAAAAGCCCGCTCACAACCCAAGCTCCCACCGACATCTCCGCTTTCCAGGTGAGCTTTAACCTTCTGCAGCTGTGGCACGGTGCCCAGGGAGGCTCGGCTCTGTCTCAGAATAAAATGGCTTTCTTTCTGCAAGCAGCCCCGTGTCCCTGCAGGAGGATGTGCTGCCAGCTCGGGGCACAGGAGGATGGAGCAGGGTTACCCACAACCTCTGTGGTTTTCTCCCGTGCCATTCAGTGCCATACTGCAGCCCAATCGAGGGAAGCTTTTCCCAGGAGGAAAAAATGTGCAAAATGTGCTTTAAAGTGTGAGATTTCACTGCAGTGTGCAGGAAAAGAGGCGCCTGACACTACAAATAAAAGCTCCAACAAGCGGTCCCGGAGCTGCAGCGTGCAGAGTCCCCCCCCTCTGCTTGTTGCACTCTCACTTGCACATTCATTTCCCTAAAAGCAGGCTGACAAGGATCTGAGAACCACATCAGCAAAGCCGACAGCTCTCACCTTCTCCTCCAAGGCGGTGCGGGTCGGCAGCTCCTGCTCGCTGGAAAAGCAAGGGGTGACAAGGTTAGCCCGGGGGTGAGCAGGGAAAGGAGCACGGCGTGCTGTGGGTCCCTCTGCAGGGAGCCATGCGGCTCCAGGGCTTGGTGCCTGCCCTACAGCTGCCCCTCTGGGCCACAGCCTGCCCAAGGCACCAGCTGAAACTCCATGGGAGCTGCTGGGGGGATATCAAGCACGGATACTGCTGGAAACCCTGTGCACACTTGAGCATCCATTAAAAAAAGCAGGGGAATTTTGAACAGCAAGTGCTTTGAATCCCCCCCTGCTGCAGCCAGAACAGCCACTGTTCTTACTTTTGTTGTATATCTGAAAGAAAAGTCGCTCTTTAAACGTTCTCCCCAGCCAAGCGGTGTGCATTTAATCCCTTTGTGCCCTGCTTAGAGCAAGGATTTCCTCAGGGAAGGAAGAATGATCAGATATCTCGTCTCTTCTCTTCCTACACAGCCCTGCAGCAGCAGGGGCGAACGCAGGATGATCTCCTTCAAACGAATGCCACAGGCCTCCAAGGAGGTGTGTGAGCAGCAGCCTGCAGCTCCTGACACCAGGTGATGGGAAACCACTCTTCCCCAAAGAGGACAGCAAGGAAAAGGACATCCTGACCCCCCCGCCTCTTTAAAAAAAATAATAAAAAAATACCTTTCCTACTGAGTGGTTATCTCAAAACCTTATGTTTTGTTTTGCTCATGAAGGTCCCCATGAGCATTTTGAGGCAGTTTTGGAGGGCTCTGAACGTTGCCTTGCAGCAAACTCAAAGCAGCGTGTTTCCCCCCCGCCCGGGTGGCTGAGGGAGGAGATGCCCCCAGCCTCTCCTCCAGCATCTGGGGCTGCTGGAGCCAAGGCACAGAGCAGCCCAGAGCCAGGGCACCGCGCAGGAGCACGCGCTGGGAGGGCAGGAGAGGAGCGCAGGACTTACTGCAGGAACCCAAAGCGGTCGGTGACTTTGTAGAGCGTGAAGTCGGCATCTTCCCATGGGTCAATCTCGGCTCCCTCCTGCCTGCCCTGGGAGCAGAAGGGATGCCCGTGAGCCAACCCCAGTAACAGGAATACCCCGGTGCCCACACCCTGCTCCCCCCAACCCCAACACGAGCACAGAGCAACAGGCCCAGAGACTAAAACCTGCTCTAAGGAGGGAAACACAACGCAAACGTGAGAAAAATCTGCACCACTCAGCTTCACGGGGGTGTACCTCGGTGCTGATGGGCACGGGGCAGCCTGGTTTTAGGGGGCACCAAAGAACTGGAAGCCCAGCACCCTTCAAACTATGGCCTGAGCCAGAGGATGGGATCCACGAGGAAGTCTGGGGACAATGTGAGACGGGATGTGCGGGCAGGGAGACATGGGTTATGGTGGAGATGCTTTGGAGCACCCCTGCTTGACCACCTGATTAAATAGGGAAAAAGCACGAGCTTGGTACCTTCTCATACTTGGCAACGATCTCCGCTTTTTCCTGGGTTATTAAAGTGTCTATGTCTTTCTTCATGTCAGAAGCTGTAAGGCAGAGGGAAAAAGAAAGAGAGCAGATAAGTAAATGTGTACACAGCATGGGAAATATTTTAGGCAAGTGCTAATAGGAAAAAGCTTTGCTGACAACTTCAGCTTCCAGCCCTATCCCAAAGCTAAAATTAGGCTGAGATTGAAAAGCCTCCGTACGGAGCATGCGTGGAGCTCGCATGCACCCAGCACGCCTGCCAGCTCCTCGCTCCACACGGGGAGCAACTGAATTTGAGCAAGTGGGAGCTTTGTCTGCAAAGCCGGCTGGAGGATGAGACTGCTGTGCCTTTGTTCCAGGCGCACACATGCCTGTAGGAAAGACATCAAGCTTTTAAAATGTTTAAAATGGAGATGTGGGAGCCAGCCGTGCTTATCGCAGAGCCCCCGTGCCATGCAGTCGCACGCCAGCTGGGATGAGAGCAAAACACCCAGCTCTTGCCCTCAGCCCTGGGTGTGAAGCCACCAGAGCAGTAGGGGCATCTGAAGGCTGACTCAACATCAAAGGCAGCGCTAAAAGGAGAAATGTTTGCCTGTGCTGGTTGATGTGTGCACACGATAAACCGGCCTCTGGGCCATCAGCACCCACACACATCCCTACAAGAAGGGCAACGGGGCAGCGAGCTGACCACATAGCCCCCACCTGCTTTGTGATCAACGTGGGGCTCAGTCATCAAACACATCTCCTTGTACAGGCCCACGGGAGCATCCTCCTGCTGACCAAAGCTGAGCCTGGAGGAGAACGCAAGAGCAGCTCCACCACGTCCTCCTCCTCTTGGGAGAGCTCAGGAGCTGCCCCCCTGCACGCAGCGCCGTGAACGGCCCAGCCAAGACGGCCACGTCACCTCCCCGAGCAGGCAAGGTGCCAGAGCGCTGCAAGCAACGCCACCCACACCTTCGGGCTCCAGGAGCCACCCTGTCCCCGGGCAGGGAGGAGGCAGCGGGGACACCCCCAGCCCACGGGGGACACCCCCAGCCCACGGAGCACATTCCCAACCACTTTGTAACCAGGCAAACTCCAGCCAGCCCCGGAGCTTTCCATCTGCTGGTAGCTTCCCCGTGCTCCCCTTCCCGCAGCGCTCAGTTCTTATCCCTTATTATTATTTTTTTCAAGTGCTCCCCACGCTTCTGCCGTGAGGTGTGAACCCTGCTCGCAGCGGGGGGACAAGCACCGGGCAGTCACGTCGCGTTACCGCCTGCGTGGCCACGTCTGCACAGGTCCCAGATGGGAAGTTTAGGTTTTAAGAGGAAGGAGGGAACTCAGCTCTAACGGGGTTTTACAAATGGCTCAGAGTTTGGGCATTTCTGAACGCTTATGAGGACAAAACCTCTTCAAATAGTTTATTAGAAAGTCAGGCTGCTTCTGCCTGCTCCGAGGAGACTTTGCCTGCTGTAAAAAGATTTGGCAGGGCTGAGGAAAAAACTGTTAAGAGCCACCACAACCTTAAACTATTTCCCCCGCTGCCACACAATGAATCATCCAGTGATTTACCCAGAACATCTGAAAGCCGAACGGCTTTAATAACACAGTCCAGAGATCTCTCGTAGGGCTTGAAGCACAGAGCTTCATGTGGGACCCGTTATGGGAAAACAGCACATAGTGAATCCTAACCAGCTGCAGGGTCGGAAGAAAAGCCCTACCCACCTTGTTTTCACTGAGCATATCAGTTAAAAATGTCCTTTTCTATTTGCCCACGTTAATTTGAGGACACCCAGGGACCAATGGACAGCACTGAGGCCGACGAGCAGCGTTTGAATCACCACTCGATGTCAGAACCGCTACAGGTAAGAGGGAAGGCAAGTAGGGAAGATTGCTGCTTCCTGAAATGAAGACAGACCAGCTCACCTCTACAACCCTAAAGCAAATCCCGCTTGTTCACTCTAAGTTGTCACTGCAAACGAGCGGGAACCCTGGAGCTGCCTTGACCTCCCCCAAGGAAGCACCTCAGTCCGCTCTGGGGGTAGGACTGAGCTGGCTGAGGCTCCTCAAAGAGCAAACTCTTTCAATTCGCAACAGGAAGGGAATTTCCCCATTGTTCACTCCCCCAACCAGAACAGAGCAAGGACAAATTCATTAAACTGCACGTTGTTCTACTCTTCTGAGCCACGGATCTTACTTAAATTGCTCCCCTGGCTTTTGCTTAATGCGTGTTACTTGTGGCTTCATTTTTTCACGACGCAAGGTCTGAGTGGCAGCCTCACTGTGTCCTCTGTCATATCTTCATCTTCTCCTTCCTGTGGCTTTCTTCTGAGAAGTTTAAATCAGAGGCAAATTTGCTTTCCTGACCCCTCCTTACATCATTTTCCGATTGTAAGGAGGCTGAAGAAATGAGACCCTTCAGGTGCTGCTAAAAATACAAACCTTCTGCAGGCCAGAGGGAAAAATAAACTGTGTCAAATTAAACATGCGAGGTGTTTACGAAGTGGAAATTATTCTGTCTCTAACCTCATGCTGTAAGAGAATAACCAGAGGAAGAGCTTCTTGGTGACAACGGAGGGTTCCCACAGCAGAAGAACGCAGCAAGACCACATTTCTTTTGTCCTCAGCCTATGTGAAAGCCTCCCAGGAGCCCCAGACTAATGCAAAGTAGCCCGTTTTGCATCTCCTGCCTGGAACACGCATGCTGGTTCTTTCTGCTGCTTGACAACCTGAATTTAGAAGACAACTCCAAGGCAGACAAGATGGTTGATGGCAATGGGGCAAGGCAGAGCTGTGCTCGCTTTTGCTCGGCCGCCCATTCGTGCAGCCAGCACAGGGGGTGCTGGTGGACAAGGCCAGCTGCCACCCCCCGAAATCTCCATGGAAGAGCCAGCAGTGACTGCTTCGTTTGAAGGAAACCAGAACAAACATAGAAAATGCCCTCACATCACAGAAATGGCACTGGGGTAAGAGCTGGCTGCCTGGCTCCAAACCCCAACCAGCAACACGGGTTCAATCAGCTCCAGCCCATATTTACCTCGCTTCTCCGCTCACATGCACCAGGCTTAGGACTTCTTTTTTTCCCCCTAAATACACAACTCCAGTGGCTTTCTCCAGCTGCCCAATTTTCTCCTGTGGGCACTGTATTTTCCCTTTTCTTTTTTTTTTTTTTTTGGTGACAATCCCACATTGCGGAGCAGCCATGAACAGGAACGGTAAGAACGCATCAACAGTTCGGGTATTAGATGATTCTGCTGTGATACGAGCAACAAAGCCTCAAGCCACGGAATTTAACTAACAAACAGAGTTCCCAAGTAGTTCCTTTTAAAAATAATGAGTAGAAGAAAAAACCCACAGTCTGCCATCGCCCACAAAATGTGCAGCTCCTGGTTTACGCTTCAAGGGATGAAGAACTAACCCCAGTAACAGCAAGCAAAAAGGATGCTCCGTGAAAACGCGCGGTACTGCCTGCCCACACTGAATACCTACCTAGCCGTGAGCAAATGCAAACACTTCACAAAACATCGAGGTTTTCCCTAGATGAGAACAACTTTCCTGATACTAATTCACCGTGTGGGATTTCAAGTGTTGGCAGCAGCATGAAGGCGTCAGCATCAAACATACACGACTGTGTGCAAACACTTATCTTTAAGTCAAGTTTACTCCCTAAGAAGTCACAGATTTAATTATTTTTTTTGTCCCATAAAATCGTTATCATACGTAACAGTAAATACTTAGGGAAAGTGGGGTATCTAAATCCATGCTCTGCATTCCTTGCCTTTAAAGTAGCCCTTGAACCTCCACGGTGCTGCTGTAGGGCAGCACCAAACAAACTGGCCTGAGGGAAGTTGGCTTTTAGGAGAGTGAGCCCTGTCACCTCAGCTCTTGCTCTTCAGCCTCCCAGCAGCCAAACCCCTCCTGAGCCACAGCTGCTGACTTTTCAGTTTTCTCTCAGCCTTCTTACAAGGAAAATACCAGCTTTTTACACACGTGTGGATTTTATACTGCCATGCTGCACCAGTGCAGGCTGTGCTCACCGTTGCCTTCACCCTTTTGCTGGACAGTAGGTCTGTAATAACCTGGCACGAGGGCTGTCGAGGGAACATGCCAGTAAATCCCCTTTTCAGTAAGCACAGCATCACGTTCTCACCGTTGGACCGGACTCGCGGATGTTCCGCAAGGCAATTTTCCAATATTTCATCCTGCAGGGAAGCAGCCACTCAGCGCGCTCGAGATTACAGCCTCTGTGTTTTGGTTTCTTCTCTGTCTGCGCTGCGCCCACCAGTTACAGCAAATTAAAGGCAAGCACGACACAGGCACGCAGCCAAATTGCAAAATCTCCAGGTCCCTCCCCAAGCGGAGCCATCCCAGCCGCCTGCACCCCTCCTCAGCACACCCCAGGGCAAAGCGCTCAGAGCCTCCACGTTTGCTGCAGCTGTTGTAGAAGCACAATTCAGCGCTGCCCAGCTGCACCCGAGCCCATGAGGACGGGGATTTTAAGGCTGGCTGCCTCTCTGAGCAGCAAGGCACTGATAACTATTGCCCTGAAGAAGAAATGAGTTTGGGCTAAAGGTGTGTTGGAGCCCTGAATGTGCCCAAATAACCTCTAGAGACTGCCATAAGGGGAAAAAAACTGTAGTAAATCAAGCAAGTGTTGCCACGCTGTGCTTAAATAATGCGCTAGCTTGCATCAGACTGAAGCTACTGTGGAATAAAGTCACCAAGGTACATACTGGCGACCACATCCACCGCCATCGAAACTAAGCACGCCTCTGTTCCTGTTTCGCCTTCTATTTTAAAAGCACGCTTTAGCTACGTTAAACCTTTAGCTGCCTCCGGTACGAGCCAGGCCCTGCCATTTCCCTGCGGGGAACGTGCCTAGAGGAGCTGAGCTCCAGCTGTTTGTCCCAGGACACCTCCCAGAGCCGAGCCCCCAGTGTCCCCAGGCCGCAATGCCCCGGGCACAGCGGCCACAAGCAGTGCCAGCACTGAGTGCAGCCCTGCAGGGCCGCCCCACAGCCCTGTGGAGGAGCAGCTCAGAAGAAACAGGCTACAGAGTGCTACAAATCCCCCAGGAGGGTTTATTCAAGCCCACAGACAGGCACCTCAGTGTGCTTCAGAGCACTCGGAGCCAGCTGTAGGCGTGGAGGAGACAAGCAGCAGGAGCCCACACCTCTCCCTGGCCGGGGCGGCTCGGCACGCTCCGGGCTGCACCCCGACATCCTCACTTGGCAGGACCCAGGTCCCTCTCTCTGCTCAACAACTGATGGTGACAACAGCGGATGTCGAGCTGTAGGACCTCCAGTCACAGCCGCCTGGTGGTTTCGCTAGAGATTTCAACCCAAACAAACCGTCCCGGTCCCCTAACCATGGCTTTAGGCAACCTCAGCCCCTGGCTTTGATACTCGCTCCAAAAGTGGTGCTCGGCTACAGACGGGCCGCAGGAAAGGAAATCAGACCTCCACTGACAGAGTGAATAACAGCTTCAGGAATGAAATTGCTAGCAGGCAGAACAAACCAACATCCAGCAGATCCCATGTGCATGTTTATTTCCTTGACTACGACAAACCCAGGAGAATGCAGACGTGTTTTTTTGTCTTAAATAGCATAAGGAGCACTAAACCAGCTGAATTGCAGGGTTAATGTTTCAACTGTCTCAAGGGTCCCTGGAAATGACTGCCTACAGATTCTGCATGGCAGACACGTTACAGAAAACTCATACCAGTTCCTGTCCCAATAAACTTGCACCATATCTGAATCATAGACTCATAATGGTTGGAAAAGCTCTCCAAGGTCATCTGGTCCAACCGTCCCCCTGCCACCCATGTCACCCACTACACCACGTCCCCAAGCACCAGGCCCAACCTTTCCTTCAACACCCCCAGGGACGGTGACTCCACCATCTCCCTGGGCAACCCGCCCCAGTGCCTGACTGCTCTTTCTGAGCAGAAATGTCAGAACCTGAACCTCCCCTGGCACAACTTGAGGCGTGGCAACGTGAGCCGGTGCCCAGCAGCACGCCCTTACCTGAGCCTGGTATCAGGTGCCGAGATGCATCCGTTCAGCCGGAGCTGTGCTCTCCCCTTCGGGCATCTAACCGGTCGTGAGCCTTCCTCGCCCCGAGCTGACGTCTCCACTGCGGGGCACGACGAATCCCGGGACACGCCGGGTCCCTGGGCCTGGCTCAGGCCACCCGCTCACTGCAGCTTTGTCCTTGGCAGCCCCGCGGTGCCACAGCTCAGCGCCAGAGGCCGGGAGAAGAGGCAGGCCAGGTGGCTCTCCGCACGCGGGCTCGCTCTTCCCACGAAGTCACTGCGAAGGAAGCAAGGAGTCGGTGAGCTTTCCGTCCCCGGCACTCCGCAGAGCCCCTGACAATTTTGCACCAGCGGACAGGCTGCCTGAGGCACAGCCAGCAGAGGATGCTCCGTGCCCTACCCCAGGGCTGGAGAGCTGGGGCTGGCTGAGCTCCTTCCCAGCACATTCAGTTTCTACCCAACACATCCAAGCAGCTAAAAGCAATTCAAAGGACAGTGCCCAATGTGGAGCTGTCGTGACAGCCTCAAGAACTGGTGTTCCTTCCAAATTTTAGCAGCGACAAAGGGAAAACAAAGACACGAAGGCTGTCAGCCTGCGCTCTGCAACCTGTGGGCACGTGCATGTTGTGCAAGTGACTTTGAGGGCCGCCAGCACATCCCGCAGCTTTGGATGCCGAAGCCGAGCGGTGTTTCGGCTGGTGAGAAGCCTTCCCAGGACAAAGCCGATGTCCTGCAGCAGATCAGCCTACGGAGTCCTGCAGCCACAGCTCCAACATCGCCTCTGCTGCTTCCCACGTGCTCCTTGCTGAGGCGGACACCGTGAGCGCTGAGTAACCTGTAGCGCAGACTATGGTACCTACACGTTGTCCTTGAGTACCCCATAACATCCTTGCACACGTTGTAATGCAAATTGCTCACATTTTCCTCTGTCCCCCCAGTTTACATCAGGTTTGCAAAGCACAATGGAAAGCTGTGGGCATGAGGACGATACTTCGCTGCAAGTATCACCAGAATACGACATGCGGTGAGACGCAAACATCCAGGCCAAGCCTTTTCCTTACAGAAACACTTAAAGGTGAGGCTGCGTTTCCACACTATCCACCCCCCTCAGGGCTAACACCCTGCGTGGCAGCAAGTGCAACCTCAGCCTCCTCCCCACCGTCCTCCTCGTGCTCCCAGCACTTATGTTTTGCTCTCATTTTCAGGCAAATTTGCTGCAGCGTGCCCTGGGGCTCAGGTGGAGGCTTTCTGACCTGGGCTGAGGCAGGAGGGGAGAAGCAGGGAGGAGGAGGGCTGGTGAGGAGGCTCTGACAGCAGCTCCTCCCTGCTCGCACTACAGCAGAGCGGCTTCGGTGCTTCTGCAAAGAGCAACCGCTGCGATGCCAAAAGCCACAGCTTCAGATGTGAGCTGAAGCCCTCAGGCAGAACTGCGGGTCTGCAAACAATTCCTCGGCAGCTTCTATTTTTAGACCTCACAGGGAATAAAAAAACAACTTTAAAACAACAAAAAACATCTAAACATTTGCTTTAGGCTCTTTCTGCTAGGAACTCGTCTTCTGCAGACGACAATGAAGGAAGATGAATGAATTTTGGTTTTTTGTTGTTGTTGTTAAGCTTCACTATTTAAACGATTTCTCCTTGACCTCACTAAAAAAAAAAAAAAAAAAGAGAAGTAAACTGGGAAGTGCAAAAGTCCACGTGCTGCTTTGGGAATTGAAGACTTATTTTCTCTCTACTCCGCGTTCCCCCCTTCCTCCATTCCAGTGTCTATAAAAAGGCGAGAAAGACGGAAAAAAAACCCAAAAAACTCTTTTGGATGATGCATGGTGCTGGAAAGGAACAGGATAAACACAGAGTTCAAGAACTGACTCCTTCTGGTTGCTTCAGGCTGGAAGAGCAGCTTACATTTCTTTAGCAGCAAGCCACAGGAAGACACGGCGATGATCGCTCTCCACTCCGTTGTGGAGCAGGCAGGACAAACCCAAGCGCTGCTTCCAAGCACGGAAGCGTGGCCGGACCTCAGCAGCCAGCCAGGCAAACTCCAAAGGGAGATCCAGCACCGGGATAAAACGACCTGGAGGCGGCTGCACTGCGAGTGCTGAGCGAGAATCCAGGCTGAGCGGCGAGACAACGCTTCAACCCCGCTGAACAGGGGAATATCGGCCCTCAGATGCTCTGGGAAGGATCTGCCAGACCACAGGCTCGTCTGATGTGAAGGAAAAGGGCACACGGCCTGACCAACAGTTCAGATTTCCCCTTGGCACCACAAGGGCTGGAGAGGGTCCTTAGCGAGGGATACGGGAACAAGCAGCGCACAGAAGCCAGTGACCGCGCTGCCAGCAGCCTGTGCTCTCCTTGGCACAGAGGGACCGTGAAACATGAACAAGGAAATAACAAACGTCCCATTATGCCGAGGCACTGGGACAAATAGGATAAATAGGTAGGAAATGAAAAATCCACTAACAGTGCTGTACAGCTCGCCTCTGGAAAAGTCGCCCAAAATAGGCACTGAGGCCGATGGTTCCTAAGTTGCAGTCATCTCAGTTCAGTTACAGACAGACACAGACTGCACTGACTGCGTGCGTCTCCCACCGCTTGCCAAAGCCCCTGGCTGCGCTCCGCTTTTAGGAGAAGTGGCTTGAGCTGTTACCGTGACCCAGACCAATGCCCGTGCCCCTAGGAAAATCAGGATTTTAAGTGAGGTTCTCCCAGTGCTCTCATTTCTTCAAGCAGCCTAATGGGTTTGAGCAGGTGGCACAGCCTCCGAACCCATCTGTATGCGGCAGCCCGTGCCAGGACGCTCCCTGACCACAATGCTGGCAGCTCCTTGGACTTCCACCACCTTCAAACAGCATCTCCAGACGCTAAAGCACCAACTGTTGTTAACTTTCTACTACTGAAGCCCCAAGCAATCACACCAAGTAACAGAAAACCCCAGGGAAACAAGAAGTGTCTGATCCAGCACTGGGAAAACGCCTCCCCAAGCTCTGCGATCTTTTACGACTTTGCAGTGCAGCATTAGGACACACAGCATTTTAAGGAGCACTAAAGCAATCTTTTTTTAATTACCACATAACCTTTCCCTTCCTTTCTGTTGATAATTCCTAAAATTACCCGAACTGAAAGCTCGCAGGAATTTCTGCTATTTTGTGCAAAAGCACCATTTCAGATAAACAAGAAAACGCAATGGTTATGTTCCCTTGGAGGAAAGCATCCACACAAGAAGCCTCCCCTCTTCCCTTTGTGGAAAACATGTTTATAAAATCCAACTGGAGGGGCAGACTCACGGCACACGCAGTACTAGCAGCAGCCTCGAGCTTACGAAACAGCGAGGATGGGGTAGGACACGCTGTTAGAGGCAGCTCACCAGCTTAGGAGTCGATGTAAAAATAAAGCCTTTTTTTTTTTATGGTGTTGAAATCAACATCTGGGTAATTTGGTCAGGGCTCCAAAGTACTACTTGTGATTCACAGGGCTGTTAGCACTTCACCAGGCTTGACATGGAGCGCAGGGCTGGCGCTAAAAATGGATCCACTGAGCCCGCGCAACGAGGGGCGGCCACGCGGCTCTGCAGCCATGGCAAGGGAAGGGCTGCTGGTGTTCAGAAGTCAAAAACGTTACTGCAACATGAGTTAAATGCAACAAAACGGTGCTCGGGGGAGCGATGAGCAGGCATATAGGTGGGCTGGTAAGTGTGGAAGAGGATGCAAACTCCAGCCATAAGCAAAACCCCGCTGTGTGCGCCGCAGGGCTCCAGCCCCAGGCGATCAGCAGCAGCTGAACCAGGGCTCCCCAAGCCAGGGGCTGAGCCCACAGCACCAAGCACAGCCCCATTGCTGCTCTGGGGTGCCACCACTCCCTGGGTACTTCCTAATTATTTCCTAACTAGCTTTTAATCATCCTTGAAGGGCTCGGCAAAGGTGGCTCAGGCCGCGCTGCTGCAGAGAGGTCTGCAGGGGACACTTGGTGGGGACAGGGACAACTGCAAGAGCCAGGGACTGACAGCACCCTGCTGGGCCAGGATGCGTGGGAGCACTCCCAGTGCTCGCTGGGGGACACTGAGCAGTGGTGGAGATTCATATGGGATTGGAGCAGCACATCCAAGCACTCCTTACAAGGATGAAATGCTCCAAGCCTTACCTCCTTCCTACCCTACGCCTTGCAGCTGGACTCAAGGATCTCTGTAGCTCCTTTCCAACCAAGCTATTCGATGTTCTGCATTTCTTCACCAATCCATGGCACACACAACCAAGCCACGACACAAGCCCCCCCCCACCCCAACCCCTACCTCTCCTTGCAGGCCATCCCAAGCCAGCAGGAACCAGCAGCTCAGGCTCGCCAGCCCGGCTTCTCCCCCACGCTTGGTTTTGAAACCGCCCGTGACGATCACAGCAGCGGGACGGGGCAGGAATTCATCCTGGTTTCTGGGGAAAGAGCCCTACCCATGAGCTCAGCGCCTGGTCCTGTGCCCAGCAGGAGGGGGGCTGAGGACAGCCCGCGGGCAGGCATCCACGGGCAGAGCTGTCAGGAAGCACTGGGAGTTTTGCCAGCACCTCGCCCAAGTTCCACAGCACCTGGGGACGCAGCCGTTTCCCGGTCACTTCTGGCAATTTAGCTCCGTGGCGTTTCTATTAGAGAAAACTTCAAAATCTGGCCCATAGAAAACACGCAGGAATCCACCAATTGTAAGACAGCAGCAGGGCCCTGCCCTGACAGCGTGAAGAAAGTGCAAGCAGCTCCCAGCACTGGCTAGGGCAAGGCTGTCCTGAAATTGCTTCTTGTTGCTTTTGTCCCGAATTGCGGTCTTTTTGTCCATGTGGTGTTCTCCCCTGGGAGCAAATGAAACCAAATCAGGCATCACCTGGGGTTTCAAAAGGACAGCAAAAAGCAGACGCAGTCTGACGCGTCTGAAGATGTGTTCAGCTGAAGAAAAAGGAGTTGGGATCTGAACTTGACAAAGCACTTTAAAAATTAGAGCACCTGACATTCACCCGGGAGAAGCAACAGTTGGGCGCTTCACTTAAAGCACGTCTGTTAACTTGGTTAATTGCTGCAAAGAACCAGGATGATGATTTGCCACTGGAGTTTGGGGAAGGGGCATCTTTATACCCCATGATCTGGACGTGGGAGAGCTGAACGCATCCTACCTGAAGAGCAGCTGGACTTGGCACTCTACGCGATCGCTCTGAAAAGGCAAGTTGTCAAGAAACACGCACCTGAGCACAGAAGGGGATGTTTAGGTAAGGAAAGGAGCAAAGAAATGGCTTTTATTCTTTC